GATGATGATGGTGATGATGATGACGACGGCGACGACGATGATGATGATGATGGTGAAGCTGATGATGCTGATGATGGTAATGCTGGTGATGGTAAGTATGCCGATGACGTTGTTGATGATGATGATGGTGATGCTGATGATGATGATGCGGATGAAGATTATATGATGATGCTGATGATGACGGGGGATAACATGATGTTGATACTGATGATAAAGACGCCGATCATGTTGGTGACGCTGATGATGATGATGATGATGATGATGATGATGATGATGATGATGATGATGGCGCTGATGATGATGCAACTGAACATGATTATGATGGTGATGGTGGTGATGATGATGGTGATACTGATGGTGATGACGATGGTGATGACGAGATGATGGTGATGACGATAACGATAAGGATGACGATGACGATGATGATGCTGATGATAATGATGATACTGGTAATGATGATGCTGATGGTGGTGATGATGCTGATGACGAGAATGATGATGCTGATGATGAGAATGCTGTTCCTCGTGCTGTTGCTGTTGCTGCTGATGAGGATGATGATGCTGAATATGGTGATGATGATGATGATGATGATGATGATGATGCCGATGGTGAGGATTCTAATGAGGATGATGATGATGATGACAATAGTAATGATGATAATGTTGATGTTGATGGTGCTGATGATGACGATGATGAGAATGATGATGCTGACAACGATAATGATCATAATAACTACTCATGAAAAGGAGATTTGATCTACGATCGGCACTGGCGGTTTTTTAATGAAGTTCGGCCTGGCCGCCCCACCACCGAAAAACAATAATATTCGCGCCCAGGATAATCATGACACAAAGGGGAATTTGGGGATAGGCTTCATTATCGGGGTCACGGGATTAAGAGAACAGTGCCATTTGCAAACCCGTGGCGGCCTTAGGCGGCGTCGCTTTCTTGGGCTCGTCCGGAGACGTGAGCGCATGCAAATTGTACTTCCTGACGGAGCTGCAAGGTACAACGATCAGCGCGAGAAGAAATATCGCAGACTCAACAGAATGATGATGGGGGCGCTGACGAGGAAACGATAGGACGATACGGAATGACAACAGACGTTCGCTGGAGCACAGCACACGAAGAACCCGTAGATCTCAGCAGATCCGCCGATCTGGCGCGTGACTTTTAAAAAGGCGTGGGCTCGCAGTTCGCTGCAACTCCGCTCTGCAAGGGGGAGGACCCCGTGCAACGCCCTGCGTTTTCCCCGTGCCCTGCCCCGGCCCAAGCCCCAACCCCAACCCCAGCCCCAGCCACGGCACCCGTCCCTGCCCCGGCCCGGCCCTGGCCTTGGCCTTGGCCCCGGCCTAGCTGCCAGGCTACATCCATACACGCGCGCGCTCTCGCATTCGCATACGAAGTCGCAACCACATGCACGTGCGAAGTGGAGTTGCGCATGGGCGCACTTACACTTACACACGCACTCGTGACCATGCACGCGTACCCACGGATGCACGCTTAAAGAAATCACATGACACTGAACGGCCAGATACATATTCAAAATACATTCAAACACATCGCACATGATAGCAACCATACAAGTGCACGCTCAAAACTCAAACCAACACACGTGCGCAACTTAGTTTTATCCGTGAGCACGAAGCTGACATCCACATGACTGGAATCCCACGTCTGACGACGGCGCAGGCTGACTCCAAGGTGCCCCCCCGATGGTTCCCGAAGCCGCAACGACGTCTTAATAAGGCCCGATGCGGTCCTCAATTACCCTTGGAATCAAAAAACAATCAGAAGCCGAACGTTGTTCCGAATCGTTGGCTGCCCCCTGCCTGGCTCTCAAGAGGTCACCCCCAGAGACGATGAGATGCCCCCCAGGACCGCCCAGCATGGGCCGACAATTCCCACGGTTGCCCCCAGATGCCCCCCAAGCTCTCAAGAGGCCCTAGGGAGACCCCAAGAGTGCGATCCACAGCGGCTGTCAAAGGCCCCAGTACACGCCAAAGTCCCCCAAAGACGGCCCAACAAGCCATAACATGTTCTCGTGCAGGCCTCAGGATAGCCCCGATCGTGTGCCCCACGATGCAACAAGATGGCTCAACCAATGCCTCGAGATTGTCACTGATAAGCTAGGAACGTTTCGACGTTGACTGCCACCTGCCCATGCGGATTACAACTTCACGTCGCATCGCATTTCGCAAAACAGCATACACATGAAATAAGTGCCCCCCATAATAATAATTGCGATCGAATCAACGGCCTCGCACTACCAGATCATGCGCTTTGCTGTCACACCGCAAGCTGGTCAAGGAACGCGTGGTCTTTCAACGGGGGGGATCGTGACCTACGAGGTTTGTGCACTTAGGGCAACCGATGTACATATATGATGAGGTCTACTGTATGTATACATAGATGTACGGACATCTACACGTTGAATGATATTCTACACACATGCATACATACAACAAATGTGTGTACAACCTGTATGCACATATGTGTGTATGCCATTGGTGGTGGATGCGCGTCTCGGCTCCTAAGCATCGCCCAGCGGGTCAGGATGCTCATGCCGCAGAACAGCGGGTTAACCTCGATCAGAATACACTTCTGCGGGTCGCTGAGATTCACCTAGCTAGCTGCGCAGGAGGGCTGGGGGAGAAAATAACCACAAAAAGCACAACGCTCCGAATCTTGCAAGCCGCCTGAATCGCACCCCAACAGACCGGCTCCTCTCAGCTTTTTTCCGCGGGCCACCACAGCCATCTTGCTACCATCAAGCTCGCTGAAGAAGGAACGAGGCGGCCTTTCTGGAAACCGCGAACCTCGGCCACGAGTCGGTCCTCCGCTCTAGACCGAAGGTATGGCCCGAAAACTAGGGCTCCCTCCCGGACCCAAAATGTTCCTTGTTTCAACCAGCGTCTTGACTGTAGGCACCCATCGCGAGACGAGCTGTGCGCCGACGCCCCCGCCCCTCGTCCGCGCGCGCCGCCTTGTGCCGTCCCTTGGGCACGATCTCGTCTATCACGGCAAGCACGGTCTCCTCCCGTGCCGTGGGGCATCATCAAGGACAACCATCGAAACCGGCAATCCGATCGAATCGATATGTGCGTCGGGTTAGCCAATCGTCATTGTTTCCCCGAACAACGCTTGCACTCATAAGGTTATCATTGATATGTGTCTCTGGATACTGCGTATCCCCACCACTACTTAGGTAATCGGTTGGTATTCCGTTTCCTTACTGATCCTTCGTCTTCTTCCTTACTCTGGCCTTCCGGGTGTTGGCCACGTTGCGGCCCGTGCCGCCTCGTGGGCGCCCCGTGCCCAACAAAAATAAGGGAAGGACTCGGCCAAGCGACATTCGGCCAGCCGAACGCGGCCCGACCGACCTCGGCCAATCAGAACTCGGCCCAAAGGCCGAGCTTTCTCCTGGCCGAGTTCAGCGTGGGCCAGGTCACTCCGGCCGGATCTCTCTGGCCGAATTTCGTTGGCCGAACCTGGCCAAGCTCCTCCCGCGCGAGTTCGTCCGGCCAGCTTGGAGCGAACTCCCGCCTCCACCGGAGCGCTGGCCGAGCTCGGCGCACCAAGCTCGGCGCGGGCCGAGCTCGGCCTGGCCAGCTCGCTCCCCGGCCAAACTTCTCCCGACCTCCTCCTGGTCCGAGCTCTCCCGGCCGAGCTTTTTGTCCGCGCCGAGCGTGTCCAGCCGAGTCCGGCCGAGCTCACCGGGCCGACCTCGGGCGGCCGAGCGTCGCCTGGCCAAGGTTGTCCGGAGTCGTCTTCGGGAGCCGCAGCAGACGCTCTCGGGCGCGCGCGGCCCCCAAGAGCGGAGCAGGCGCGAGGCACCATCGGGCAGGCGAGCCCTTGTGCAAGCGCAGCCTGCGCAAACAAGTCGGAGCGCAGGCACCATGCTTCTTGCGGATTGCTTCTCGCGCCTCCAGGAAGGCCAGAAGAGGCCAAAAACATTGATTTTCCTTAGGCTTTTGGAAGGACTTGACATTTCCTTCTTTTCGGCCTTCCGACGGCCCGAGACGGCCCAAGAGCCCCCAAAGATCGCCGAAAGATCGCCCAAGAGGCCTCCAAGACGGCCAGAATGACCTTCAAGATGCCCACGTGTTCCCCGAAGGCTTTCCAAACCGATTCGGGGAACACATGGTCCGATGGCTTGGCAGGTCTGGCCTCAACGTTCGGCCACATAGGCGCTTCCAAAAAGGCAGGGGGCGGCGGTGGTTCGCCGTAGGCGTCTTCGATCCGCCGCCCCCTGTTGCTTGCAAGAGGGGTGCCTGGCGTGCCAAATCCTACTGGCGTGCCAAATCCTATCCTGTTTGGTTTTGGTCCTTTTCCCAAAGAACTCCCCCTGGGGCTCCAGCGCGTCCCGCCGGCCACCCGGAAAGTGCCCAATCCGGAAAAAATCCTCCAAGACAGCTCAGGATGGCCTCCAAGATGGCCACGTTGGCCCAAGATGGCCTCCAAGATGATCCAAGATGGCCTCCAAGTCCGCCCAGGATGGTCCCAGACGGCCTCATGACGGCCCAAGAGAGTCAAAGATATCTCCAAGATCGACCAAGAAACCTCCAAACGGCCCAATACGACCCAAGAGGCCTCCAAGAGGTCCTCCGGGAGGGTCCGAAGAGGCCCAAACCTTTTTCTTTTTCTATTGGTTTTTGATGGATTGTGGCATTTGCTTCTTCTCGGCATTCCTACGGATCAAGACGGCACAAGAGGCCCCCAAGATCGCCCCAAGATCGCCCAAGCGGCCTCCAGGATGGCCCCATGACGGCCCAAGAGCCCCCCAAGACGGCCACAAGAGGGTCCCAAGACGGGCCAAGAGGCTTCAAATACGCCCAAGATGGCCTCCAAGACGGCCCCGAAGCGCCCGAAGCGGGCCCCAAGGCTGTTCAGGGAGGAAGGCCAGAAAAGGCCAACAACACGTATTGTCCTAAAATTTTGAAGGATTGTGGCAACTGCTTTTTGCTCGGCCTTCCGACGGCCCGGGACAGCCCAAGAGCCCCCAAAGATCGCCCAAAGATCGCCCAAGAGGCCTCCACGATGGCCCCAGAACGGCCCAAGAGGCCCCCAAGACGGCCCCAAGAGGCCCCCAAGACGGCCCAGGAGGCCTTTAAGACGCCCAAGATGGCCTCCAAGACGGCCCTGGACCATTCCAAGAGGGCCCCAAGTCGGCCCAGAGAGGCCCCCCTAAACGGCTTCCGACAGCGTCAGACGGGCCAGGAGCTCACCAAGACGGCCGAAGATGGCCCTAAAATGGCCCAAGACGGCCCAAGAGGCCTCCAAGAGGGCCTCCAGGAAGGCACGAAAAGGTCAAAATCATTGATTTCCCATCAGTTTTTGTAGGGTTGTGGCATTTGCTTTTTGTTCGGCCTGCCGACGGCCCGAGACGGCCAAACGGCCCTAAGAAGCCCCCAAGACGGCCCAAGAGGCCTCCAAGACGCTTTAGATGGCCTCCAAGACTGCCCAAGAGCCCTCCAAGACGTTCTCCAAGAAGGCCCGAGATGGCCTCCCGACGGCCAAGAGGACCTTCAAGATGCCCACGTGTTCCCCGAAGGCTTTCCAAACCGATTCGGGGAACACATGGTCCGATAGCTTGGCAGGTCTGGCCTCAACGTTCGGCCACATAGGCGCTTCCAAAAAGGCAGGGGGCGGCGGTGATTCGCCGTGGGCGTCTTCGATCCGCCGCCCGATGTTGATTTATCACGGGGATGCCTGGCGTGCTAGACCCTACTGGTTTGGTTTCGGGTCTTTTCCCAGAAGAGCTCCCCCTGGGGCTCCGGCCCAGCGCGCCGGCAACCCGAAAGGGACCCCAAAATCTGTCTGTCAAGGTTGTCCCGCTCCAAGATGGCCCAAGATGGTCTCCAAGACGGCTCAAATTCCCCGAGATGGCCTCCAAGTTCGCCCAAGATGGTCCAAGATGGCCTCCAAGACGTCCCAAGAGGGTCCGGGATACCTCCAAGCCCGCCCAAGAAACCGCCAAGACAGGTCAAGACGGCCTCAAGATGGCTCAAGACGGCCCAAAAGGCTCCCAAGAGGCCTCCAAAGCGGCTCAAGAGGCCCGAAGAAGCCAAAATCATTGATTCGCCTTCGGTTTTGACGGATTGTGGCGTTTGCTTGTTTTCGGCCTGCCGACGGCCCGAGACGGCCCAAAAGCCCCCAGAGATCGCCCCAACATCGCCCAAGAGGCCTCCAAGATGGCCCCAGAACAGCCCAAGTGGCATCCAAGACGGCCCCAAAAACGCCCCAAGACGGCGAGCATCCCAAGCGGGCCTAAGTCGGCCCAGGGAGGACCCCAAGACGGCTTCCGACGGTGTCAGAAAGGCCAGGAGCCCATCAAGACGGCCTAAGATGGCTCTCAGATGGCTCAAGACGGCCCGAGAGACTCCCAAGAGGCCTTCGAGGCAGCCCAAAAAGGCCTCCAAGAGGGCGTCCAGGAAGGCTAGAAAAGACCCAAATCATTGATTCGCCTGGTTTTTTTTAAAACAACTGATTTTGGCACTTGCTTCTTTTCGGCCTTCCGACGGCCGGACGGCCCAAGAACCCCAAACAATCGCCCCAAGATTGCCCAAGAGTCGTCCAAAATAGCCCCAAAACGGCCCAACAAGCCCTCAAAAACCCCAAGGGGGGCCCAAAACGGCCCAAGAGGCCTCCAAGGCGCCCAAGATGGCCTCCAAAACGGCCCTGGAGCACTCCAAAGAGGCCCCAAATCCGCCCAGAGGGGTCCCAAAGACGGCTTCCGAGCGGCGTCAAACGGGCCAGGAATCTCCTCAGATTGCCAAGAAACCCCCGAGAAGCCCCCAAAGGCCCCCAAGAGGCCCAAGTAGGTCCCAAAGATGCCTCCGCAAAGGCTCCCAGGAAGCTCCCAGGAGGCCCCAAAAGTGCTCCCGGAGGCTCCCAAGATGCCTTTTCCTCCTCCTCCTCCTCCCCCGGATTTCCCCCGCCATTAGGAGCCAGGAAAAAAAACACCAAGGAATTTCATACAAAGGGTTCTGGCACCACCAACGGCGCAACGCATGTGCACACATGCCACTGGATCCCCAGCGATCCGAACCAGGGTTGATGCACGGCCGTGCTCTAGGATGCAGATGACATGTATGGTGTGGGAAGGCTGTCGGCGGCGACGAGATCCCAATATCCTCTACCGACAGACATTCCATGGTGGCTTGGCACAGCCAAACCGCCGTGCAACGTCAGTTTGTTCACCCGTTGACAGCAGCACGCGTCACGGCAGCAGAACGCAGTAGCGCGCGCGGGCATGCAGGGCCCGCGACGTGGCTGGTCAGCTGCCAACGCGACTTCGGCAGAAGAGCCGAAATCCACGTAGGATCGTTTTGGGCGCGGTATCCGGCGCAGCTGCGTCGCACTGCCAGGCGCCGCGGCCTTGTGATTGTAACGCCAGGCCCCGCGCGCTCCTCGAGGCGAGACAGCAAGCTCTACACAAAGGTACCGCGCGTGCTCTGGTGGGGGCGGCGAAAACGATCGTACACGAAGGAAATTATTTTGTGTCCTCCCCCCCGCGTTGGCAGTGTAACCAGACCGCACACAAAGGAATAACACGACACTTCGTGGTACCCGAAGGGATTACAGCAACGCTCTTTGGGTTGCGCTCTTCGCGCGCGGTGACAGCTCCGAGCTGGAAAGGAAGGGGGGGGCGGGACAAGGCAAAGCAGGGGAAGAAGAAAAAGAAGAGGAGGGCGAGAAAGACGCGAAGGAAGCAACGGAAGGAAGCCAGGATGCGCGCAAGCGAAGCTAACACTGCGCGCTGAGACAGTTGTTCGTTCGTTCGGTTGGCCGTGCGCAAATGAATAGAAAAATATGTTTTTACTGCCATTCGAAGGGACTTTTTGGGAATGAGACTCGCGCTCTCTTCCCAACCCCCTTTCCCACACCCCGTTGCGAGCGCGCGACGATTTGTTCTGGCCCGCGGGCAGAGGACTGCCAGTTGCTGGTGAGCGGCCTTTCCACCCGTCACGCGTTCCGAACACATGCGACCAGCTAAACGCACTTGCCACGCAAACCGCCAGCTCCAAACACCGACGCCACCCCGATCCCCGCATCCGTGCCAGGCACCCTCTCAACGACGCCCCATTCCGGCGTAAAACCAATGAACCCCTTTGTGTTTATCAGTTTTTTCCTGTTCTGAGCCATCCTCCCCCAAGTGTTCCCTGAAGGGTTTCCACAACGGCTGGGGGAACAGATGGTCCGATAGCTTGGCAGAGCTCTTGCCACAACGCTCGGCCGCATGGTCGATTCCAAAAGGCAGGAGGGCGGCGGTGATTCGCCGCAGGCGTCTCCCATCACATAGATCACGCCCCACACCTTCCACCTCCAATTCACACCGCCTAGCCCATACAACATAGCTTACCCCGCATAGTTTGCATCTCCTCTGCTCAAGCCACACAGCTCACACGACATAACTTCCAAGACGAACACTTACACTGCATAGCTTTCGCCTCCACCGTGCAATCACACACTGGTTGGGGTCCACGCTGGCTACAGTTTGCTGTGACGCAAATGGTCTGGGGAGCTAGCGCGGCATGTTCCTCCCACCACCACCCAGCACCGCAAGCACGCCAACGACAGGACGGGTGAGCCAGGGGCGCGGCCGACTCAGCGCAACGCTGGATGGCAAACGCCAGAGTGGTCACGGAGGGAAGGAGGGGGAATAATGGGGAACAGCAGGACGAGCGGGAGGGAGGCGGACAACAAGGAGGAAGAGGAGGAGGGGAGGACAGCGCCAGGAAGTGGAGCGGAGGAGGATAACGGAGGGAGAATAGAAATGGGCATGGGGCATGGGAAAGAGGAACATGAGCTGAAGGCAGAGGCTGGAAAGGAAACGCGCCGTGAGCAGCGGTCCTGGCGATGGCCTGGGCTGCAGGAGGAAGCATTGCAGTGAGCCCAACACTTGGGTGACTGGCGTCGATTCCTGCCTAAGGCCTACGAATTATGGGAAACATGGAACCACTACGAAAACCAAGAGTGTCTCGATAACACGAATCGGGGATTCTCCATCGGTTTCTCCCGCTTCCCGGCGCTCCAAGACGGCCCAAGCGGCCTCCCAGATCGCCCCCAGACAGCCCCAGATGGCTCCACGAGCGACCCAAAACGGCCCAAGAGAGTCCCAAGACGGCCCAAAACGCCCCCAAAACGGCCCGAGGGGACCCGTAGGCGGCTCCAAGACGGTGCCGGGACGACGGACCAAAAACTTACATTTCGTGCCCTCCGCCCCGAGTGCCCCCAGGAGCAACCAAGAGGCCCCCGAAAGGCCCTCCAAAAGCCCCGAAGAGACCCCAAGATGCTCCCGAGAGTCCCCCAAGAGGCTCCCAAGAGACCCATACACCTTCCCTCGAGGCCCCCAAGAGCGTTTCGACTAGACCCCAAGAATCATCCCTAAGGATTCTGACTCACGTCAGCGTCGTCGTCGTCGTGAGCAGCCCGACGGTGTTTACACAGTTAAGTGGTTGCGGTTGCCGCGCTGTAACTTGTTGTTTTGGTGGCGACACACCACCTCCATCCTGGTAGATGGCGAAACCTTGGCGACTCCTCCGCCATCCAGCTCCTCATCCCTCCTCCTCCGCCTCATCCCTCCTCCTCCTCCTCCTCCTCCTCCTCCTCCTCCTCCTCAGTACTCTGGGTCTCTTAATAAGCGTGGGGGGGTACCCCCCCGACGGGGGTCAACCTCGCCTCGTCGTCGCGCCGCGACGGGTGTCGGAGCGCCATCGGCGCGCGGTGGCTGCCCGCGACGGGGGTCGATGTGGGGCGGTCGGCGGGGGTGACGCTCCCCGTCGCATATTAAAAAACTCGGAGTATCTTCCCTTCTTCATCCTGTTCCCCTTCCCCTTCACCTCCTCCGTTCCCCTCTCCTCCTCCCTCTCATTTCTTAGCTTTTGAATATTTCATCGTCGCTGTCTTCGTCGTCGTCCCCCTTCAGGGTCGGCGGCACAGGCTGGCAGGCCTTCGCAATAAACATTTGTTTCGTAGTGATTCCAGGTTTCCCACATTTCCGAATTATGGGAAGCCCAGTAGCCAGACGACTGCCTACCCGCCTCCTCTTAGGACGGTAATGATGCCATGATAGGACCAGCTCAGGATAGGCTCAGAAATCCCGGAGTATCTTTTGGCCCTCGTCCGTGGACTCCGCGCAGAACAAGACATCCTGGAAATCTTGGAGCGCATCACTAAAGGGGCCCAGGGACACACAAAAACACACACACACAAATCCCAGCGTTCCGATAATTGTTGGGTTTTGCGTCTTCCTACCGTCTTCCTACACTTTATCATACACTCCTGGGAGTCGACGAGTCATTATGTCTGTTTGTGTTTGTCGCAAGCCCAGACGGCCCCACCAGGCAGTCTGGGCTCACCTCAATGGGTCCCCCGAGTAGTCCCAGCTGGCCTCCACAGGCCCCCAGAATCGTCCAGAGCGAACTCAACAACCCATTAGCATGGGGGGAAGCGGGTCCCGAGGTAGACGGCTCTTGAATCGTGGGACCTTCCCCCAGAACCCAGAGCGAGATCTCCATCCCGAGTCGTTCTCCGGCAGTCCCGGGGCCCGTGGAGGGCCCCGAGGGCCCGAGAACATAAGAAAAATCTGAGGACCGTGGCGAGCCCTGGGGCACCGAGCGCCCGGGAGGCACGGCCGGACGCGGCGCCGGGGCGTGGAGACCGCCCTGGGCTGCCCGCGGGACCTGCGGAGACCAGCTGGGGCCTCCGGGTGGGCCTGCTGGGGGCCGCCAGGGCCACCTGGAGAGCCCGTCCGTGCGCAACCCGAAGCCTCACCAGATCCCAGAACTCATGGCGTATGCCTTCACAACATCTAACAGACGGAAATTCTGACGACCCCGATCCCAAGCTTCTGGAGGTTTTTTCGACTGGGCCAACAATTTGGGGCCCAACCCTGGGATATACGATGAGGGGCGTCCATCCTCGTCCAAATAGCTTCCTTGAGGTGTGTCCCAGAGTTCCCCCATGTTTCTGAGCGGCCAAACTTTTCGGGCGGAACTCGGGGATCGGGGCAGAAAACGGGCTTGCGAGCGTATTTCATCACGACGTCGACTGAATTCATGGTGTACCCAGATTTCCGACGATATGATTTCGGCCTCTGGGGGCCTCAATCGGGCCTCAGGACCACCAAGCGCGGATCGAGGGCGCGATGCGACCTACCCCTGGGGAAGGGGTCGGGACCTTTGGGGCCGCCGATGGAAAAATCACATCGGAAGGTGTCAAACTATTTCTTTACGACATGCCAGGGCCAGTCTGCCCATCCCCTGGAGCGGTTTGATATCTGGCTTCGTTTCTGATGGTCCAAGGGCCCGGCGAGGGCCCCAGGAGGCCGACAATAGAAAACAGAGATGTCCGTCGTGATTTGTTCATGACTCTCGGCTTCCTCGTCGTTACCTTACCAGTCGCCACTTCCAATCCCTGCCAAACGTCCTTCTTCAGCGTGCTGGTGTTGCGCGCTCTGAACTCCAGCGCCCAGACCGTGGGCTCGGCATCGGGGCCCACGTGACCCGGCAGAACCTTTTGGGAGAAGCGCGGCGCGGGCGTTTCACGCAGAGCTGTCTCACACAAGTCCGTCGACCTTTCGGCGTATGGAAGACGTCGTCGTCGTCGTCGCCGCCGCCGCCGCCGTCGTCGTCGTCGTCGTCGTCGTCGTCGTCGTCGTCGTCGTCACGTTAGCCAACGTGGACCCCAAACATTTGTTTGTAGCAGCCAACGTGGTGCAGCGTATGAGCAGTAGTTCGTCCTGCCGAAGCTGAAATGGTCAATTCCAATGCCCGCGCAATCATCCAACCCACCAACCAACCCACACATTGGTTTGCAAAACCCCGCCGGTGGCGATTGCGATGACTGCTTGGCGCTGGCTGTCGCACCGCTGCGGCCACAGCATCGTGCGCAGGCTCACGCGCAGAGGAACCAGCTAGGCTGGCGCGACCGTCGCGGCCGCAGTGCCGCTGACCGCTGGAAACTTCCCACCGCGTCTCGCAGGCCGCGCTGCCGCGCGGACACCTCAATGCGAATCGGTGTCCCAGGCGGGCACGGCATCATGGCGATATGACAATGGAAAAAACGATGATGATAGTAGAGATGCTGGTGGCGACGATGATGATAACGACGGCAAGGCCAATGACGGGGCCGATGCTGATCACGCGGATGACGATGATGCTATCCACGTGTCGGTGAGCAGGGTGGTGGAACAAATGCGGACATGCGCGCGCAGCCGACAGGCGCGAGTGGCCCGCGCGCTGTGATTTGACAGGGATCGTGCCCCTACCCCCTAGCAAGAGCGCAATAGCGTTTTGATGATTTTCGATAAGCGCGCGAAAGACCCGCTTGGTTGCATCTGTGAAGAGTTTCCTCCCCGCTCTATGCCTCAGAACATCGGCGGATCGGGCGCGGCAGGGCCCCTTGGGCCCACGGCCCTCAGGCCGCATCCTCCTCCTCGCAAGTCCTCACCTTCCTCGGATGCTGACGCCGACGACGATGGAGATGGAGGGGGAGGAGGCCATTTCTCCCAAGTGGCCTGAGGCGCCCCCGAGCCTCCTCGGCGGGCGCGAGCTCTGCGGCATGCAAGTCTCGCTGCCGCTGCACCCCCCCTGTGTTCCTGACGCCACGCGCACCGCGAGCCGCGGGGCCCACCTCGAGGGCCCCTGCCCGAACTGGAGAGGGGTCCTGGCCCCCACTACCCAGCGTTCCTAACACTGCTCTGTGCCTCCTCCACATGCTGCCTCCTCCTCGCGCCCACTTGGCCGCCGCGCTGCCAGCCGTCGACGCTCCCCTGCGCTCCAATCTTGGACCTCGTCAGTCCCGCCTGCCCTGCGCGCGCCGAGCCTCAGGCCAACGCGGCCGCCTCCTGCACCTTTCATGCCATGTTCAGGTCCGCTGCCGCCATGCTGCTGGCCGCGCCCTGCGCCATGCCCCTCGCCCCCCCCCCCACAGGTAGCCCTGGAAGGCGTCGCTGCTCCACCGCCCCCAGCGCTGCGCCAGCGCCGTGTCCTTGAACGCCGCGCAGAGCGCTGATGCCCCGCCGATCCTCAGGCTGTGGGAGCCCAGGTCGTTCGGGTCGACCCCCTCCGCCACGGCCGACTGCATAACCACGCGCTGGACGTCCGCCCTCGTGACGAGCCGCGTGTCGTCATAGGCGAAGAGCAGATCGTACGACTGCGCCCCGGAGAACCTCTCGCGCGCCCACCCCTCGTAGGTCGTGAGCGCCTCCACCGCGCAGATGTGCTCGTCGCCTGCCGCGCCAGGTGTTGCCTCGATCCTGAAGTGGTTGCGCCATGCCCCCTCGGTTGTACTGATGACGACTTCGTTCGCCTCGGGCCAGTTCCTCGTCGGTTCGCCCGTTGCCTTCGGCGTGACGCCGACGCCCCTCAGGCCCTTGCAGCTGGCGTAGCCATTCTGGTCGCCCGAAACGTACTCGCTGGCCCTCAGCAGGAAGAAAGAGGCCCGTGGCGACCGCCGTCCATAGGGCCGCGCCCTCGCGCAACCTCTCCGGCTGCAACTTCCTCGGGGTCCACCTCGTCATTCTGGGTGTGACCGGCTTCTTCCGCTTGCCGTCGCCGTCGCGCCTCCTCAGGCCGTCGATCGCCATCCAGAGCCTGCCCGCGCCCGCCGAGAGGTCACCCATGCCGAGGGCCAGGTGCTGGGCACGGACGGCACTCAGGAACTGCTTGATGGTGCCCGCGTTCTTGTACTTGTACCCTCGCCTCGACAGGCGCACGACGAACTCCAGCATCACCTCCTCTTCGTCCATTCGGCTCGTGGGCGCGACCTCCCTGAGGGGGCTGGTGCCCCTCGCTCGGCAGAAGAGGGGCCACCGCAGGCTGTAGGACTTGATGGTGGAGCTGGCCTGCTTATCCTGGATGAGCTCTAGTTTGGTTTTCTCCCAGTCCTCGCGCGTCTTGAAATCCGTCAGCGTCAGGTCGAAGGCAACGTTTCCAATGTATCCACTGAGTGCATACTTCGCACATGTTGCATGCTGTTTCATTATTATGACTCCCCCCTAGACACCCTCCAGGGGCCATGCCACATCCGCCGACCAGGATGGCCAACCCCATTCTGGAGCCTTAAAACGTACGAACAACTGTTGAACATCTCTGATTTGGGCCCCTGGGGCCTCTCGGGGGTCCAAGAGTGAATCAAGACGGCTCAAGACGGCCTCTTGACAGGCCCAGACGACCCAACGAGTGTCCAAGATGGGCCCGACAGGGCCCAACAAGCTCCCAAGAAGGCCCCAGAGGGCCCCAAGAGGACCCCCCAAGAGCGCCTACTACTACTACTACTACTACTACTACTACTACGACTACTACTACTACGACTACTACTACTACTACTGCTACTACTACTACTACTACTACTACTACTACTCCTACTACTCCTACTACTACTACTACTCCGACTACTACTACTACTACTACTACTACTACTACTACTACTACTACTAATGATACTAATACCACCACTACTACTACTACTACTACTACTACTACTACTACTACTACTGCTACTACTACTACTACTACTACTACTACTACTACTACGACTACTACTACTACTACGACTGCGACTACGACTACGACTACGACTACAATTACGACTACGACTACGACTGCGACTGCGACTACGACTACTGCGACTGCTACTACTACTACTACTGGTACTACTACCACTACTACTACTACTACTACTACTACTACTACTACTACTCCTACGACTACTCTACTACTACTACTACTACTACTACTACTACTACTACTACTACTACTACTACTACTACTACCAGTACTAGTCCTAGTACTAGTCCTAGTACTAGTACTACTACCACTATTACTACTACTACTACTACTACCACTACTACTAATACTACTACTACTACTACTACTACTACTATTACTGGTAACTCTACCACTGCTACTACTACTACTACTACTACTACTACTCTACTATTACGACTACTACTATTACGACTACTACTACTACTACTATTACTACTACTACTACTACTACTACTACTTTGAACATGACTGCTACTACTACTACTACGACGACTCTACTTACACTACATCATTACAATTTAGAACATGACAGGACAATACACAACTATGCCAAACCTGGGCAGAATTTCACATAACAATGACATGACACATTAGAACATGCCGGAACATCACATGACATACCTAAGCAGAGCATGCCATAACATAAGACGCCAGATAACAACATCTTAACATAACAGAGCCGAGCATAGCATAACACACCTTGACACAACATACCATATCATAGCCCAGCATCACACATCATATCATATCATAACACGGCAGCAGGCAGAACAACGACGAACACGACAGAACGCAACATGACACAGCATAACATGACACAACAGAACACGAGCTTGACAGAAAATGACTGAACAGACCATAGCAATGGCATGACAAAGCAGGACATGACAGAACAGCACATAACATACCAGAGCAGAACATGACAGAACAGAAAACGACATAACACAACATAACATACGATTACCGAGCATATCATTATACACCTTGACCTAATATATCATACCATGACACCGCTTCACCGAAAATATGATAACGCGCCAGCAGGGCATGGCGACATATACCAGCAGAGCAAATCACTCTATCCTCTACAGAGCCGGGCCGTCAACAAACATATTATCACATAGCGTGTCGGAGAAGAACATGACATAACAGAAAACGAACGGACACAACATGCTAACATAACATATCCATGCATGACATAAGGCATCATGTCAGAACATGCCGGATCATAGCATGACAACACCACATAGCACGTATAACGGAACACGGCAGCAAAGCACAGCGAAACATACTAGCAGCGCGTATCAAAATGCACTAACCAGATTGAACCGAACTGTCAACAGCATCGCGGAACTAAACATACGATAACACAAACTGACATAACATACCGTGCCATAACATAGTGTTATCGATCATATTGTACCATGACATATCACATTGTATGGTGACAGGGATAGGCATACTTTAACATACTCACCCAGAGGAGAAACATACGTGAATCTAAACATCATACCATACGACGCATCTAATGTCACAAGCGTCACGGCGTCACGCTGGCCCGTCGAGAACATAACATAACATAATAGAACACAACCTCAAAGAACGCGACTACATGGAAAACACAGTTGAACCGTTTCTTTGAGTCTGGAAAAAACAGCTGTCGACCAATTAGGCGACCGCGCGCCGTCGGGAACAAACGCTTGAGGTTTCGGTGGGGATCGCTCGCAGCAAAATAACTGTTTTCATATAGAACAAGGCTTTTAGCGTTCTCGTCTTTTTTTATTCCTTGAGGTCCATGACGGCCCAACCAGCCTTACTGCCCAAGAGGGTCTCAAGAAGGCTGAAGGCCCAAAAAGTCCCCCAGGACGGTCCAACAGGCCCCAAAGACGGCCCAAGAGTACCCCAAGAAGGCCCTAAGGCGGCCGCGAGAGGCTCACAGGGTGGCCTCCGAAGAAACCAAGCGGCGCAAGAGCGCCGCAAGACGGCCCAATACGCCCACAAGAGGCCCCAAAGAAGCCCCTAAGAGGCCCCAAGGAGCCCACAAGAAGCCTCCAAGAGGCCCCAAAGAGGCTTCCACCAGGCCCCACAACGTCTGGACTGCACGCGCTCCAGACGCGAGGCAGGTCGCGCAGCGAAGCGGAAGCCCTAATGCAACGTTTCCAATGTATCCAATGATTGCACTATTTGCACATATTGCACAACGTTTCATGATTATGTCTCCCCCCCTAACCACCCTCCAGGGGCCACGCCACATCCGCCGACCAGGATGGCGAAGCGAGAGGAATCTTTCCGACGTCGCCGTGGGGGGGGGGATTTTCCCAACCCCGTGCTTTACACGCGGCCCCTCCCGCCAAGGAGGTGGGCGCAGCGGGCGCCGGCAGCCCGCACGGCAAGACACCCGTGGTCCCACGGGTGGCGCTCTCCCCCATCCACCTCTCCGCCCCCTGCGTTCGCCATCGCTCCTCCACATCCTTTTTGTCGTCCCCCTCGTCCTCCTCGTTTTCCCTACCCTCCTCCTCATCCCCGTCTTCCTCTACTTATCCTCCTTATTCTCCTCCTCCTACTCCTCCTCCACTCTCGATGTTGACCAGCATCAGATCGAGCGATCGTTGCGTCCCCTCCTGCTCCTGCTCTAACAGCTGGGGGAACAAAAAGATACCGATACCGCTATTCCTCAGATCTGGTCCTGGTTCGTTCTGACAGAATGTCTAGGAGAATCCAGCCGTGGCGACGAGGGCCCCAGGAGACACCCAAAAGCGAAAACAAAGGAAAGGTAGCAGTATCAGTGCCTTCTCCTCCTCATCCTCCTTTTCCTCTGCGGGAAGCGCCGTCTGCGCGAGCAACTTGAAATGCTCCAGGTACGGCTTGCACGTGTAGTCGATGGGCAACACGCGGCACAGCAGCCGAGAACACGGCGCCATCCGCGTGGCCTGGTACTCGACCTTGGTGCGAGGAAGATGGGGAGTTGGAGGAGCGAGTCGAGGTGGTGCTTCTCAACGGTGTACACTGATACACTGAGGCCCAGACCCAAAACTCACGGATGTTCTGGGGTTTGTCGCATGACTGTTGTGGCGGCTCACATGACTTTTCCCGATGCCGAACATCTATATACATATATATATACTATATATATATTATAAATATATTGATATAGATATATATATGTGTGTAAAACAAATTGCCTTTCAAAATTCTCACCGCCCAGAGAAGAAGGAACCCCGAAATCGCCCAGCGAGTCCTCTTGTGTCCAGAGGGCCCCTGAGGCCGCCAAGAGGCCCGCAGAGGCGCCCACGAGGCCCCAAGAGGCATCCAGGAGGCCCCTGAGAAGCATCTCAAGAAGACCCCACACTGCATCCGAGAGGACTCTGACACACAAGCGATGCATAGTGGCGAGATGGGCAGAAGGCCACTGAATCAACATATATATATATATATATATATATATATATATACATACATACATATATACCTATATGTATGTATATATCTATGCATACACATACATACATAAACATACATATACGTATACACATATGTAGATACATATACATATATACATATATATATATACATGTATTTATGGATACATATACATATACATATACATGTATATATACACATATACATATACATATGCACATACATAATACATATACATTTACATATACATACACACATACATATGAACATACACATAGACAGACATGTACATCTGCATATACATTGACAACTCCATAGATCTTTACATACATATACATACATACAGACATACATCCATACACACATACATACGTACACACACAATGTACACGTATATACGTACATCTCTATATACATATGTACATATACAACTATGTATGTGTGTATATGTATATGTATGTGTATAAATATATATGTATCCGCCGACCCTGTCGGAGTGTGGGGTGTCTGTCCGGTCCCGTCGACGCTAAGCCTTCTTTCGTCCCCTCCTTCCCATCCTCCTCTCCCGTCGGGGGAGAGAGAGAGAGAGAGAGAGTTAGAGAGCACCCTTCCTCGTTCGGGGAACGGGTTCGCAGCTCAAGGGAATTCCATCCACGTCCTCACTACGTGAAAGGAAACCCCTTCTCTTTGTCCTCTCCCCGGCGGGGGGGGAGGGGATCCCGTGGGCGGGGGGTCAGATTCGCATCGCCTCTGGGGGTCCTCCTCTCCCACGCCGGTCCTTCTACAGCGCGCCGGTCCTCTTCAGGTTCTCCTCCCCAGGCGGGGAGGAGTCCCAGAGGGGGGGAGGGGAGTCAGATACGCATTCGTCCCTGGGGGTCCTCCTCCCCCTCCCCTCCCCTCTCCCGCGCCGGTCCTCTTCCGGTCCTCCTCCCCAGGGGAAAGGGGGACCTCTGGGAGCCACAGGGCCCAAAAGGATACCAGGCGGCACGGCAGTTCAAGAACGCTCGGAACGCTCCGAAGGCGTTCTGGAACGCTCTGCAGCGCGCTATCTTCATCCTAGACCTGCCCGGCGACGCCTGGAGTAGAAGATCAAAACAGACAAAGAATTAAGCATCATCCTACGGAGGTCAGCGCGGATCTCTTCGATCGGCGCTGGACCTCGCTCGCGAAGGGCTGGTGGGGCTGAGACGCCATGGGGATGGAAATAGGACCGACAATGCCGATGACCCAGAGATCCGATGTATAGGTTTTTTGCCATGCGGGGTCCCGACACGTTCCCCGGGGCCGGTTAGTTCACCCCGTGGCGTGTGTTGACGGCCCCGGGCCCTAGCGAGGGCCTCGGGACACCGAAGATGGCGAAACATCACCCGTCGCGATCTTGTACGACGCGAGCGCGTCTGCGACCGTGGCGCCTCCCCTCGGCGTGGACCGCCCACTGAGATCCTGCATTGCGAACGACTTGTGACATGGCGAAACATCACCATGCAGAGTGATTCGAGCTGGATCACTATGCGAAAGCCCCCCAGCACGACAGGAGGCGTAACCGCCTGGTGCGGAACAAATTGGCCTCGCATCTTCGGGGGACCATCTCTGGGGTCCCAGGGGATCTGAAACGATTTGCCCGGGCAAGTCGCACGTGGGATGTATGACGAGGAAAGAAGAGGTAGTCGTCGTCGTCGTCGTCGTCGTCGCACGAAGATGACGACGATCACGAAGACGACAACCTAGCCCTGCAATCCGGAGGGGATCACAAGGAGGGGATGGGAAAGGGGAGAGAAGGGGAGGGGAGGAGGAGGCTTGAAGAGGAGAGATGCCCCAGGAGAAATTTTCAAAGCAAATATCTGATCTGGGCGCGTATTCTTATGTGTGAACCCGATTGTGATTTTAGGAATTGTATACATCACTTGTGTAGGAGTTCGTGGTGGTCCGTCCACAGAGCAAAAAACGACCGGGGTAAAGAAGTTAGAGGGGGCTAGGCGGAAGGAGGAAAAAGGAGGAGCAGTGGAAGTAGCACTAGTAGTA